AATTAGACTAATAGCTAGACTAATAGGAGTAAACTTCTTTAAATACTAAAGGATATAGTATATAACTTAGAACGAGTATAGTAAGAGTAAGACGCTTTTTATAATAGTATAAAATATAGCAGCTATATAGCCTTAGTTTAATAGTTTTATACTTTTTAGAGTCTTAGTAAGATTAATTGCTTTTATTTAAAGTAATGTTATTTTATTATCTTATAAGTATATTATGTTATATACTTAAGTAATATATATATATATATATATATATATATATATATATATATTAGCTCTTTACTAATAAAAAGCCTCTTAAATAGGGTAGTATAATAAGTAATAATTAGTTAACTATATTACTTATTATATTAGTAGCTCTAACTATCTTTTATAATATAACTTATAAGATATCTAATACTACTAAGGCTACTTATAGTACTAGTAATAAGTAATACTATACGTTATATAAGCATAAATTCAGAAATAAATATAAGAATAAGTATATAGTTAAATATAAGTTATGTTTTATTATTTAAATATATAATAAATAATATAATATAATAAATAAGGTATTATACTATTTACCTTATATATATATATATATATATTATATTATTAAAGCTTATTTTTAAGAATTGAAATAGGTATTATTATTTACTATATAAAAGCTAAAGAAAAAGTGGTTTTTTTTAAAAAAAAATGATTACATATTTTCCTCTTAACGTATAGGTTAGTATATATCTGTAAAGCTCTATACGTGTAAGAATAGTAACTTACTGCGGTCCGCCTTATTCTTAAGCTATCGCGCTATCTCCCGAAGGCTACGGGGCGATATATCCTGGCTATCGGTATCGTCAGTATCCTCTATAGTAAAGGCGCGGCGCTTCTTATTCTTCGCGACTATAAATCTAATTACTATAGTTCTGTGCAGAGTTATAGGGATTTATAGGGTATTTTATAGTATAGCGAACACTTAGCTCCTTTTAAGCCGCTATAGTAATTACCGTAGGCTCCGTTCCCGAAGCCGTCTAAGGTAACATAGCCCTCTAAATTACCGCGCTTATCCTAGCACTTTTCGTAGCGGTTATCGTTAAACTGCTCCTAGCTAAATAGCTAAATAAAAAACCTCGTAATAGCCTACGGGCGTTTTATATTAAAATCGGGTAATTTTATTTTACCCGCCTGTTCGTACTTAAGCTATAGTACGATTCCGCGCTGGATCTATTGTATATATAAGTATATAGTACTATACAGGGGTATATAGTAATATACCTCCGGCGTCTTCTTCACTATATACCTAATAATATCTCTTAAGTATCTATTCTTAATTACTATCGATCTATTAGCTTAGTCCTAATACTATAGCGATACACAGATACGTATAGTCTAGTATATATACGGTTAGTTACTTCCCCTCTATACTAGAGGGCTATACTACGGGCGCGGGAGGGAGTTTGTCGCTAGTAATCTTTTTTAGCCACTGTACGCGACGGGTATTAGTAGCTATATTATAAATTATCCTTATATTTATCTATATAGATCTATAACCATCTATACGTTATATTACTATATTAGCTAACTACCTAGTAAGAAGGTATATAACCGTAACGTGCAAAATAGCTTTAGAGATAAGGATACTAGTAGATCTAACCCTATAGAATCGAATGCCGATACCTAATTTAATGCTATAGCTCTATATAAGAGTATAGGTGGGTTTATTTACCTGACTCGTTATTAGTTATCTAGAGAGGAAAATAAGATTAGTGTGGGCGTGGCGTTATAGTAGTGTAGGGGCACGAAAAATTTTCTAGGCTTCTGATTAGTTAGCTGGCCTAGGGCTATACTACTAAGGTGCTCTTCCTGCTACTAGCGTACCACTTACCACTATATACGAGTCTGTACACCCCTGTACGGGCATCTGTCTATAATTTTTTTTAGGATTTTTGGAAGTTGAAACAGACCGTCCTGCCGCTTGCCGTACATCACCCTGTACGTAGATGTCCCTGTAACACCAATTACCCTACAAGCCAAGACCCCGGACTTGTGCGGTCCCACTTTGCTGCATCCACAGTCCTGGCCGATGTGCCTAGAGCCTCCATTCCTAGCATGCCGCAATCCTCCACGCTCCGCTTCTCAGCCATCCATGGTGTCGGTGCCGACTGACCCCAGGCTCATACCCGGGGCTAGTGATGGTATGCAGCCTCCCCTATTTCCACTTTGCGGATGAGAGGGCCATATCGTGTAGTTGAGAGCAGTTGAGAGCGCCATGCCGGGAATGCCCCCTGTCCCTCTTTCAGATTCTCGTTGACGATGTCCCTTGTTCGCCTTTCTATGAGACCTGGTCACGGCAAGCTGCCTTAACGGGAAGCTGCCCTAACAAGCAGCCTGCCAACCTCAGGCCTACCTTCATTTGTCAGCCCCGTACTATCTTTGCCTCTGGGAGGCCGTAACGGATCCCGAGCTATCGATATGAAGGGGTGTCACTGCGAGATCGCCTGGACAGTTGAGGACTGGAGAAGTGGAACAGAGGGGGTGACGGTGTGTTTGAGTTGTTGGCTGCTTCTGCTTAAGCGTGGTAAAGCCTTCCGTCCATTCCTATCGTTCTTTTCGCTGCTGCCGCTGACCAGCAGCGTGGTGTCGCGCTGGGAGTGCAGGCGGCCCGCCATTACCAGCCCGGTGTCTATAGAATAAAAGATTGACTGGTCCCAGTAACAGTGCATTACCTATAATCTTCCTCCTCCTTCTCCTCCTGCGACCGACCAGCACTCGCCCACAAGCGCCGCGCCGCCCGCCCCCTGCCAGTGACGTCAAGGGAGAATAACATCTTCACCACCAGAAGCGGGTCGCCCTCTCCCGTGGTCATCGTCATCAGGTTAGAGCCTTTTAGGAGATGACGAATATCGCCTTATCGACCTGAGCTTATAGTTGCAGAAGTTCTGCTTGGGCCAAAGCGGGAGAACGGTCTTAGTGAAGAGAAAGCTTCCTTTAACCGTGTTTCCT